CTTAAATGTTGTGTCCATACTTGCTTGACTGTTCAGGGTTCGACCTCTGCAGGAAAATCTGGTTTGCTGCTACTCTGACAGCCTCTTGTCTTACGGATATTCTAAAAACTTTCAAGAACGATTTATGGAATGCAACAGTTTAAAAATTGAAATGATTTTAATGACTCAAAATGGTAAATTTCTCAGGAATCCCTCACACTACTTTCTATTTTGAAGAGGAAATAGAAACTGAAAGTTACACGCTAATGTTAAAGTACCAGTAATTCCGGATTCATTACTGGGCTTCGTTCTGTATAAATCAAATTTGCGGGAAATCACCTGAATTTTAATTTTATTACCTTTAAAAGGGTCTGATCTGGGAGGGAATCTGGTGAAAACAATTTCACACATGTGTATTACATAGTACATAAAGCACAGGTTTGGCTCGTGATAAATGACTTTTTATGCCCCCACCGTAGTGGAGGGGGCATTAAGTTTTACCCTTGTACGTCTGTACGTACGTATGTCCCAAAGTTGGTTTCCGTTCTCTAACTTTATTTTGCCTCAACCAAATGTTATGAAACTTATACACAATGCTTATTACCACAAAACACGGATCAAGTTTGAATTTTGGTGGTGTCACTATAACCGTTCTAGAGTTATGCCCCTTTACAAATGGAAAAATTGCTGAATTTTTCGTTTCTGTTCTCTAACTTTAGTTTGCCTCAACCAACTGTCATGAAACTCATACACAATGCTTATTACCACATAATACAGAACAAGTTCGAAATAAGGTGGCGTCACTTTTACCGTTCTTGAGTTATGCCCCTTTATAAACATAAAAAATTGCTGAATATTTTGTTTCCGTTCTCTTACTTATGTTAGCCTCATCCAAATGTGTTGAGACTTATACACAATACTTATTACCACAAAACTCAGATCAAGTACAAATTTGGGTAGCGTCACTTTTACCGTTCTTCAGTTATTTCCCTTTATAACTTTATATGATATGCAAGTGGGAGCATCATCTGTGTTCCATGGACACATTCCCCATTTATTTCTATGTAAAATAAAGTTTTGATTTTTAAATCAGAATTGGCTATTGTTATTGCTGCAAAGTCTCGTAATATACTGGAGAGGCAGTTATATTACAGGCAAGGGATTACAAATCAAAAGTAAGTTCAAATTGGCGAATAAGAAACCTGATTATAATGAAATGACCGAAATTATTTTGGAAAAAAAATTGATTTGTCCTAAATCCCAGTGTGGTGTTCAGGACAAATAGCCTTCAGTTTAGGTTATGACTGGCAAATGTGACCATTTATGGACCCTTGGTCAGGAATTTATGGGAATAACATTTCATTAAATGATCCTGCATACAAAATCATTCTTATACAGGTAAAATGATGATATACATATATTTTCAATCTATAACATAAAATCAAACACACCTAGAAAAATTGTCATTACAGAATAGCATGTGTATGTGTGTTTATTTTATATTTATGATTGTCGGCAGTCTTCGGAGGTAATTTCTGGATAATTAGATGGTGTCTAGCCCAAAATACACACAAAATGCTGATATATTTTAATGAATCCATGCATTGTAACTTTTGTGAATTGTTTCTTTTGGACTTTTTATACGACCGCAAAAAAATTTTGGGATCGTATAATGGTATGATGTCGTCGTCGTCTGCGTCGTCGTCCGAAGACACATTGGTTTCCATACAATAACTTTAGTTTAAGTGAATGGATCTCTATGAAATTATTTTAAGAAGGTTCAATACCACAAAAGGAAGGTTGGGATTGATTTTAGGGATGATGGTCCCAACCGTTTAGGAATTAGGGGCCCAAAAGGGGCCCAAAACAAGCATTTTTCTAGTTTCAGGATATTAACTTGTGTATAAGTATTACGATTGCTCTGAAATTGTATGACAATGTTTAATACCACAAGTAGAAGGTTGGGATTTATTTTAGGGGTTATGGGGCCAACAGTTTAGGAATTAAGGGCCAAAAAGGGGCCAAAAACAAGCATTTTTCTAGTTTCCAGACAATAACTTGTGTGTAAGTGTATGGATCTCTCTGACATTGTACCACAAGGTTCCATATCACAAAGGGAAGGCTAGGATTGAGTTTGGGGTTAATTGCCCAAATATGTAGGAATTAGGGGCCAAAAAAGGGCCAAAAACAAGCATTTTTCTAGTTTCCAGACAATAACTTGTGTTTAAGTGTATGGATCTCTCTGAAATTGTACTACAAGGTTCCATACTACAAAGGAAAGGCTAGGATCGAGTTTTGGGGTTATTGCTCCAAGAGGGGTTTCAAAAAGTTGGTGGGGGGGGGGGGATTTTTTTTTCCAATTTTTTTTAGAGGATCCATTTTTTTTTTCAAAATATTTCAAATTTTATATATTTTTGAAAAGTTTCAAGAAGAAATCTTCAATTGCACAGTATTGCGCAATAGATTTGTAAGATCTTTGACCACATTTATTTTTTGTCAGAAATCTATATTATGTCAAAAATTTGATCACAATCCAAATTCAGACAGTATCAATCTTGAATATTGTGTCCAAATTTGTACCAACTGTTCAGGGTTCGACCTCGTATCATTCGTATCAGGCTGCGCTCAGCAAAGCATTTTATTGTAAGTTGAATATACGTTTTAGTATGTTTTAAATCAAATATGAAAATGCAGGTCAGTTGAGTCCAAGACTCAAACCAGAACTCTAATGTATTATTGATCAATCCGTGTACGTTTACAAAGCACGATTGAGTTTAAGTAGCTCTTTTTGCTTTATTTCTACAGGAAAAGACTCGAAATGAACGTTAGATACAGGTGTCAATGATATTTTTAGCATTTTTGAAAATTCGGATGCATAAGTTAATCTCACACCTGTGCACATTTCTTTGACCACATTCATTTTGTGTCACAAACCTATGCTGTGTTAAATATTCAATCACTATCCAAATTCAGAGCTGTTTAAGCTTAAATGTTGTGTCCATACTTGCTTGACTGTTCAGGGTTCGACCTCTGCAGGAAAATCTGGTTTGCTGCTACTCTGACAGCCTCTTGTCTTACGGATATTCTAAAAACTTTCAAGAACGATTTATGGAATGCAACAGTTTAAAAATTGAAATGATTTTAATGACTCAAAATGGTAAATTTCTCAGGAATCCCTCACACTACTTTCTATTTTGAAGAGGAAATAGAAACTGAAAGTTACACGCTAATGTTAAAGTACCAGTAATTCCGGATTCATTACTGGGCTTCGTTCTGTATAAATCAAATTTGCGGGAAATCACCTGAATTTTAATTTTATTACCTTTAAAAGGGTCTGATCTGGGAGGGAATCTGGTGAAGACAATTTCACACATGTGTATTACATAGTACATAAAGCACAGGTTTGGCTCGTGATAAATGACTTTTTATGCCCCCACCGTAGTGGAGGGGGCATTAAGTTTTACCCTTGTACGTCTGTACGTACGTACGTCCCAAAGTTGGTTTCCGTTCTCTAACTTTATTTTGCCTCAACCAAATGTTATGAAACTTATACACAATGCTTATTACCACAAAACACGGATCAAGTTTGAATTTTGGTGGTGTCACTATAACCGTTCTAGAGTTATGCCCCTTTACAAATGGAAAAATTGCTGAATTTTTCGTTTCTGTTCTCTAACTTTAGTTTGCCTCAACCAACTGTCATGAAACTTATACACAATGCTTATTACCACATAATACAGATCAAGTTCGAAATAAGGTGGCGTCACTTTTACCGTTCTTGAGTTATGCCCCTTTATAAACATAAAAAATTGCTGAATATTTTGTTTCCGTTCTCTTACTTATGTTAGCCTCATCCAAATGTGTTGAGACTTATACACAATACTTATTACCACAAAACTCAGATCAAGTACAAATTTGGGTAGCGTCACTTTTACCGTTCTTCAGTTATTTCCCTTTATAACTTTATATGATATGCAAGTGGGAGCATCATCTGTGTTCCATGGACACATTCCCCATTTATTTCTATGGTTCCATATCACAAAGGGAAGGCTAGGATTGAGTTTGGGGTTAATTGCCCAAATATGTAGGAATTAGGGGCCAAAAAAGGGCCAAAAACAAGCATTTTTCTAGTTTCCAGACAATAACTTGTGTTTAAGTGTATGGATCTCTCTGAAATTGTACTACAAGGTTCCATACTACAAAGGAAAGGCTAGGATCAAGTTTTGGGGTTATTGCTCCAAGAGGGGTTTCAAAAAGTTGGTGGGGGGGGGGGGGGATTTTTTTTTCCAATTTTTTTTAGAGGATCCATTTTTTTTTTCAAAATATTTCAAATTTTATATATTATGAAAAGTTTCAAGAAGAAATCTTCAATTGCACAGTATTGCGCAATAGATTTGTAAGATCTTTGACCACATTTATTTTTTGTCAGAAATCTATATTATGTCAAAAATTTGATCACAATCCAAATTCAGACAGTATCAATCTTGAATATTGTGTCCAAATTTGTACCAACTGTTCAGGGTTCGACTTCGTATCAGGCTGCGCTCAGCAAAGCATTTTATTGTAAGTTGAATATACGTTTTAGTATGTTTTAAATCAAATATGAAAATGCAGGTCAGTTGAGTCCAAGACTCAAACCAGAACTCTAATGTATTATTGATCAATCTCAGTGAATATAAATTGTATCTTTTAAAAAATGGAATTGACTAAATATCACTGAAATCATATGAAGTGGAAAAGAGATGGAATATTGATTGTGTCCATTACTTCGGTATGTAGTCTGCATTTCATTTGGTCAGTGTTGACAATTTTTGGTACATTGTAAAAAGAAAAAAAAAAAAATCATGTCAGATCTATAATGATTCATAAAATAGTTAGAAAGTATAATGAATTGATTTACTCATGTTGCTTGAAAAGTGAAACCACATTCATTAAGCAGTTTGTGAAATGTTCAAAAAGAAAATACTTTTATATTAACAGACAATGTTGTATTGACTCACCTGTGATTGATTCTTTTACAGGTGGAATGAATCACTATAAAGATGAAGGGTATGGTAGTCAGTCTAATGTAAGAATGCAACATACAGGGTATATCCAAGCTCCACAAGCCCACAATGTGGTAAGTTAACATATTACTGTGTAGATATTACAATCATAGCATACAGGGTTAATGTGTTCCATTAGACTGACCTCATATAGCCTTAATAGGACTTAATAAAAGCCTTAGTAATGGGGGACCTCAGAGTGCTGTCCATAGAGAAAACATGGAAATTGCTGACCCATATTTGTGGCAGCAAGTTTCATAAAAGGTGGATGATTGATTATTGCTCGCCCAACGTTCAGAATTAGAATATCTATATGCATAGGCCTTTGAAGATGGAAAAGGATAAGATTCAGATTTGTACAGAGGAGAAGCTGCCAATTAGATAATTGATGTTAAGGTCAGAGGTCAGTCAGAGTGTCTATGGAGTAATCCATATAGAAACATGTGATAAATAGAGCATTTCCTTATTGTGGTTACTGCACTTTAGATATTTACTTACAGGATTATTATCAGTTGGTAACTCGAGCCACTTTTTTTTTGCTACTTGAATTTATGACAAGAGACAAGAATACAATTATTTCACATACTGAAAATCTAACTATTCTTTTTCTATATGCTTAAGGTGCAAAAACATGAACATTTGTTTGAATAAGAATGTTTCTTCTTTTCAAATGCTTTTACGGCCTACTCACTCAGTCTGTATAACTGGGAATATTGATTTTGCAAATTAAAGTAAAAGATAATCTTTGGAATTCTACAATCTTTGCCTCTGAAGGGCTTTATAATAACACATGAATGGTACAAAAATAGTGCATTGATTTTTTTTCTGCTACAGTTATGATAACTGAATGTGTAAGGAAGTCAAGCATTCAATAATGGTGTTTTTCTTGTTTTGTACTGTATTGTCATGTAAGACTGACAGAAATTAGAAATAATATGACACATCTTTATAACAGGAGCATTATTACTTTTATACATGTCCATGACAATGAATGAATTTAACAAAAGTAAGATTTCTGTTTCTGAAATTTCTTCTAATGATAATAAAAGAGCAGAGTTCCAATGTCCCAAGCATTGCACATATTTCATCTATCAAATGGCAATATCTAAAAAAAACTTTTTTTTTGTTCTTTATAACTCTTACAAATGTCTTAGAGAAATGAGGGCTTGAGTAAAACTTTTACAAATATCTTAGAGAAATGAGGGCTTGAGAGCAAATACAATGCAATTTCCAATATAATTAATATTTCTAAGGGGCATAACTCCTTTATAAATATTTGATCGGCACTGATTTTTGAACTTGTCCGAGACATTGCTTTTATAAATCTCTAATCTAAATTTCATAAAAATCTGGCTGAAATTGTACACATGAGAGCGCTTACAATGCAATTTTCCATATAATTAATATTTCCATTATTTAAATAAATATTCCATATTTTCTTTAAAAAATATTAGGTCAGCACTGATTTTCGAACTTATCCAAGACATTGCTGATATAAACCTTTGATATAATTAATACGTCCAAGGGGCATATTTCTTCTAAAGAAGGGACCTCGGTGGCTGAGTGGTCTAAGTTGTCCAACTACTGTATCACTAGCCAGTCAACACTTAGGTTGTGAGTTTGAATCCCACACGGGGCAGGTGCACTCCACTCCAATCTTAATTACTAGGATTGTGAGTTTTCCTACCGAAGGTCGTGGTTCTCTCCTGGCACTTCAGTTTCCTCCACCAATAAAAACTGACCGCAACGAAATAGCATTATAGTGTTGAAAGTGGCATTAAACATCAATCAATCAATCTTCTAAAAATAATTGATCGACACTGATTTTGGGACTTGTCCATGACCTTACTGGTATAAAGCTATGATATAAGTTTCATAAAAATCTGGCAAGAATTGTATACATGAGAGCGCTAACAATGAAATTTTCCATATAATTTACATTTGCAAGGGGCATAACTCTTTTAAAAATAGTTGATCACCACTAACTTTCAAACTTGTTGGAGACATTGCTGATATGAACCTATGATATAAGTTTTATAAAAATCTGGCTAGAATTGTACAAGTAAGAGCACTCACAAGACCGGTCCGATGGATGCCAGGTATTTCTATGTCCCCCTCAACGCATAGTGCAGGGGACAATTAAACCTTGTTATGTACATTTCTGTGGCATGATTTTTTATTTACTGTTGATCTTCAATGTTTTCAAATCAAGTACAAAATGTACCATCCCTAATTTTCTATATGTATTCATTGTAGTACATGTAACTGTATATTTGAGTATTGAGACTAGGGATAAGTTTATTTATATTAATCTCTGGATACAATTTGATTCAGTTTCTGCAATCAATGCTTCATTGACTTAGATTTTTATGTTGTTGATCAAATATTTTACCTAAATCTATCAAGGGTTGCCTCAATTATACATTTATGCGAATTTAAAGACTAGACTTAACTCAGGCTGTATGGCTGTTTGTTGCTATTTGTCTCTTCATGAGATTTCATGGGTAAAATGACTTCAATTATGTGCACATTAAAATATAGTTCTGCAAACAAATGTTAGTAAATTTGTTTGAATTTTCGGGAAAAAGTCATAAGGGCTATCAAGTAATCTCCATTCAGGATTTATGAATTCCAAAAGTCGTTTTGAACTCTGTTTAGAGTTTAATGCAATCAAAACCTTGACATATGACCTTAGTAGAGATGTAACCTTACAATTCCAGTTGATCAAGGTTCCAGTTATTTGAGGTTGACAGTTACATCATGATTTCCCATGATTAAAAGGTCTATCCTGTAGATTTAACATGTGGTTTACATTTGATAGTGTACTTAATATTGTCAGTCTGGTTTGTTCAAGGTTTAAAACCGGTTTTATATTCATTCATTTTACCTTGCTCAATTTACTTAAAACACATTTTTAACCAGATTTTTAAAAAGTTGTCTGGAGAATCAATTTCAAATATGTTAGCAGTTTACAATTAGTCAATACATATCACTGAAGTACAGGTCATGAGAGATTTCTGCTTATGATTAAGATTACTTTGTAGCTGCTTTCCCTGAATGATAATTATCCTAACCTTTTTAAATTTCAATTCCAGTAATTTTTTATGTGTGTAAAAATTATACTAATTTTGATTAGGTTAGTTTATCCCCTACTATAAAGTTATCTCCATTTTTTAGGGTCTATTAATCTGTGCCAGAAACTTTTCTCTATCCAAAGCCAACTTTTACTAGTCACAGGCTTAATTAACGCTAGTGATTTTTGTCCCAGACTGGTCTAAAGAATCTGAGGTGTGCATTTTCCCTTTTCCAAACAATTTTTGAAGCCTTTAAAGTTTTCATGTTAAATATAAGTTACATGTTCAGAATTGTACCAGTATATGCAAACTAGTCAAATGTTAACTAGGCATTTGTTGAAAAGAAGATTAAGTAGTTGTCTAAGTATTTGATGCTCATTCACAGAATTTGTTTACTGAATGTTAAAGGTACAATATAAAATGTGAAGTAGGGAAACATTTAAATTGATTATGCAGGAAATTTTAAAATTACAAGGTCGAAAATTAGATTGAAATGAAATTACATCTTCTAAATTCATTCTTATTAAAAAATATATGATCAGTTGTGGACAAAATATTCTTTTGTTAATTTGTTACGTATATCTTGCTTTCCTATTATCCGTCTGACTGAAATGTCTGATGAAAGCGTCTTCCTATTGTAGTAACCATGCTAACTGAGACTGTTTGTGAACCTCCTATAATTTTATGAATGCTATGAATTATATGCCTTCAAACATTGTCAAAATATATGCATTTCTTTTAACCTAGGTGATTCTAATTTTTGTGTTGACTTGATATGTTTTTTCTATGTTTAAATAAACAAATTAAAGTTTTGAATATGTTTTCTGTATTCATTAGATGGCACAAATTTAAACTACCTGTTAGCATCATCATGCATGTAAGAGGAAATACAAAAATTATTTTCACCATTTTGTTTAAATTGGACCTAAGGGTAACATTACACTAGTGCATAACCATGATAACATCTTGTATAAAATTCTTCTCAGTGATAGGTTTAACAACATTTAACATAGCATTTCTCAAATATATTCTTTTTATGACAGTTACTTCAGCCTTATTCCAAGCTCAAAACTTTCTAATCAATGTGTGTATTTGAATAATGAAAAGAACCTGCAATATCATTTTGATAAATGTTTATTTTTTGTTTCAGAGTGGAATGAATCCTAATTATAACATGCCCCAAGTTGGATACAATAACAACAACCAGGGAAACATAATGGCATCACACCGTGGACACATGATGGACAGCATTTACCAACAACAACAACCTCAACCTCAGCAGTATCCACCATCACCATACCAAAACCAGGGACCTTATCACATGGGACAGTATAACCAACAAAATAGTACATATGGTCCAATGATGAACTATAATAATAACCAAAACAGAACTCAAGTTCGCCAACCTACTACTGCTACTTCACATGTACATTCTCGTCACCAGAATCCACAGGAAGTAGCAAATAACATCCTCCAGATGGCAGCTTCATATCAACCGAGTCAAACTGTTCAGGTGCCTTTGTCAAAACATCGACAAGCACCTTATCATGTGCCTGTCTCTGCTCATTATAACATGCCAAATCATGTGAATAATACAGAACAAATGAATCGGCAGTTTAATTATCCAAATCCATCTCAGCATAACACCCATGCAGCAAGGACTTCTCCTGTAAGTCCAGGGTCAATGTACATGCATAGTCCAGCCTCACAGCACAGCAGTCAGAGTTTGCCAAATTCAAGTCCACGATCTATTCATAGTCCATCTGGTTGTGGGAATATCAGATCACCTGTTCCATCTCCTGCTGGTAGTATGAGATCCCCCTGTCACATGCAGTCACCAGTTAATACACCAATCAACCAACAGCTGCATGTGACCACAGGACAACAGATGGTACAATCTCCACCTCAACATCAAATGGGCTTCTCACCTAAAAATCATCCGTTAAGTCCTCAAGGTATACAGTCACCTCATTATAAACAACAAAATCAGAAAAATTATCTGAATGAAAATGTCGCTGCAACTAATTTTACAGCTAATAACCCATTGCAGTCTTTACAAAAGCTATGTATGTTACCTGATAGACAGGTAGTTGATCCCAAAAGTATTGTAAACGATTCTTCCCCTTCACCTAATCAGACCCAAAAAAACGTGAGTAGCGATGTCGACTGGAATACAACAACCATCAGTGAGACGGCATCGGTAAATAATTGCACTGATGGTAAAAATTGTGATGAAATAGACAATAATTCAGGTATACAAAATAATCTGTGTACAAGTTCTGAAAATAGTTGTTCTGTCCAAAAGACAGCAATAAACACAGTTGTGGACAGTTATGCTGATGATGCAGTAAAAAAGTCGACTGAAAATACTATCAAAACTGATGTTGACTTTGAACATCAAAAACTGAAATATTTGGGCCAGCCATGTAATACAGAAACTGGTTTAGATAAACAATCACCTTTAGAATGTGTTCAAGGAACAAACTGTGAATTTTCAGAAAGAGTTCAAATAACAACATGTAAACCTTTTGAAAATGTTCTAGAAACACATAAGAAATCTGAAACAACAGGAAATTCTATGAATAATTTGCAAGCCAGTATTGAAACAAAAGAAGTATCGGACACAAGTCTTGTAAGTGAACAAGTTGATGGTATACGTACATCTACCGATTACATAGATTGTGTATCAAAGTCTTCAGAGACATTGCAGAATTCTGAACTTACAGACAATTTACCTAATGAACAGAAAATACAAGAAAACTCTGAGTGTGAAATTGAATCAAATCGATTAGAACAGACTGTAGAAAAGTCACATGATAGTGAACAAAAGTCATGTGACAATAAAGATAGTATAGAAAGGTTACAAGATGACCAGGTATCGAGACTGGAGTCGGAATCTGTTGAAAATATCTGTGATAAGTCTATAGTCAATGGTTGTGACAATACACACTGTGATGACCAGTCAAAACCTGATATCAGTTCAGATTGTCGGAAAGATGAAGTTAAAAGTATGGTTAACGGAATAGATGATTCAGAAGATAATAGTAGTGATGTTGACATGAACAAAGCAGATTTGTTTATAAAAAGTGAACCAAATATAGAAATTCTAGAAATGGATTCTGATTCACTTTTAAATCATAAAACAGACCAGAGACATAAGAATGAGGAAAAAGCTGATAATAAAAGGATTTTAAGAGAGATTCCACCCAGAGTGGCAAGTGCCTCACCATTTTATGTTGATGATTCCGATAGCGGTGACGAGGGAATTCTTATGGTTCGTAAGGATGTGAAGTACACATACAGTAGGTACAGTAAAATTCATCGTGACATCAATTCCCATGTGTCTGTATCAGATAATGATACTTTTGATATCTCTGATGAAGAAAGTCTCGATAGGAATAGTTTAGACAGTGACATGAGTAAGGGATTTGACTGTGATTTGATACAGTCTCTTCCAAAAACTGTAAATGGCCCTGGTTCAAACCCAGGACATAGAAAGAAAAATACAGCATCTAAGCCCTTTAAAAACAGATGCAGTAGAAATGTCATTTTTGATACTCCAGGACAAGGATCAAAAGATAAGTCTGAAAACCAAAAAGGAAATGGCCGTTCTAAAAGAAGAAGAACTGCCACTTCTAAATATGGAGATGAAATGTATTTAGGGGATGATTTTGCACTAGATTCTGAAGAAGAAACTAAGATTGAAAGGAAAAGTAAAAGGAAACGTAAGATTAGTGGGGATACAACATGCATAAAAGCAAACACAAAAGTAAAATCTGAAGATGTTAATCTTGATTCAGATGATGTAGGAGAAAATGACAAAAAATGTAAGAAAAAGGAAAAAATTGAGACAAAATTTAACTGTAATATTAAATCAGAAGAAGTTATTTTAGATTCAGATGAAGAAGAAGAAACTGGCAAAATAGATCAGAGTAAACAAAAATTTAGTGTGGATCAAAAGTTGTTTAATAAATCTAAGATTGAACATGATATTTTGGCGTCGGATGAAGAACTTGAAGTTGAAAAGACTGCAAAAAGAAAAAGTAAAATTAGTGAAGATTTAAAATCAAAGGTTCAAATCAAAGAAGAAAATGAAGACTCACAAATGGATTCCTTAGATTCAAAAGAAATCTGTATAGATATAATAGACAGTTCCGATAATTTAGGTGATGGTTCAGATATTATAACATTTAAGCCTATAACTAAACTATCTTCCTCATTTCTTCCAGTGGCTTCAACCTCAAAATCTCAGTGTGAAAACAAACCTTTAGTGCAAAAAGGTAAACCTCGAACTAAATCGAAACTAAAAGTTTCAAAAGCTGGTAAATCAAAGTCTCGTGGAAAATTGCTGGACGATTCAGTTAAAAATATGAAATTAAAAAAAACTATGAACTTGATGAAACAGAAAGGAAAAAAGAAGCCTGAGATTCCAGTTAAAGAAATTGGTCCTATTCTAAGGATCAAAGATTCTCGGACACCAAAAGAAAGGTGTTTAGTTGTCAATCAGCTAATAGAAGAGAACAGTGATAAAACTGCCAAAAATAAGAGGTCTACAGTGCGGGTTTCAACAGTACAAGTGTCTAAATTACCTTCTGAAAAGTCTGTTCATGTGCCTGCTTCACTTGCAGGAGAGAACACTTCATGGGTTTGTGCTTTATGTAAGAAACATAGTAGTTACAAATTTTTAGGAGATTTATTTGGACCATATTATACTGAAGGTAATTTACCTGAGGACGAGGGAAGCAGTTCTATGGACAAAAAAGGTAAACAAAAAAGACAAAGTGTTAGTGTTGATTCAAAGTCCAATTCTAAAGGCAGGCGAAAAAGTAAGGACTCCACGAAACCTAATGAGATCTGGGTTCATGAAGACTGTGCTGCTTGGGCTGATGGAGTCCTGTTGATTGGTGCCAAAATGTATGGGTTACAGGAAGCCACAGATATAGCTTCTTCTACTGTGAGTATATTCGTTCAGTTATATTGTATTTGGGGTTTTCTTAGTTCAAGCTACCAGTGATTATAAATTTGATTTATTTGGGTTTACAGTATGATAAACATAAAAACATTTAGAAATAACATTACATCAATGAAAAAAATATATTTCATCTTTTTTAAGTATTAGTGATGTTAGTAGAAGAGAAGTAGGGTAAACAAAGAGAAATTGTTTATGAGAAAGCAACCCAACAACCTCTCTCCTAGGCTTAAATATAATGAAAATACTTAGTCCATTTTGGAGAATTTATTATTAAGGTACTACTTTTGACTGTTTGAATAATATCTTATTGGTATACCATGTATACATGTGACTTTTTTGTAACATATACATGTTATTTTGACATGTGGTATGACCTAAACATTATTTTAACTCCAGTTGTAAGTTTAAAAACAAGATAATATATGTTCTTCAGTAACAAGCATTAACTGATAGTCAACGGTATATGTATAAATTTATGTAAGGAGACATGCATTAGAATATTTATAAAACACATGGCCTTAACCTTTGTTTCAGAGTTCATTCACCTTTAAGAAAAATTTGTTTATTATAGTGTTTAGTGTGGCAGCTCTTGTTATTAGTAACAGTTACAAGATTTTACTACATGCATTCTGATGTTAAATACAACTGCTTTTCTTTTTGTTAGAATAAATACAAGGACGCTTTGACAAAAAACTTGAAAGAAGCTGGATATTTACAGGTTCAGCTTCCTTTATTATCACCTTTTGGCATAAAGAAGATAAACTTATTCCTGGTGCAGTTACATCACGATCAGATTGTTCATGAATATTAATACCTTTTCAATTAGAAAGAAAGTTTTGGTTTTTGAAAAAATCAAATTATGGAATTCTTTCATTCTTTTCAATCTCCCACTACCATCATGACCATGGACTTATTATAAACTTTATTCCTATAAAAACCAGAAACAAATAGACCAACTTGATTGATAAATTATTAAGTTCTGGAGATTAGAACAACGCATGGTAAAAAGGAGTAAATTCAAATATGAAATGCATATTTGTGAGAAATTTGATGTAATAATATATGCATATACATGATTTTATTTGCAGGTTTGTACATATTGTAAAGAAACTGGTGCTATGGTAGGCTGTCTACATAAAGGTTGTTCCCAAAAATTCCATTATTATTGTGGCATTGAATCAGGTAAAGTCAAGTCCATTCTTCATCACTACAAATAATTCTACCTTATCAGGAAGCTTCAGGTTTTATTTTTCCTTTTTCTGATTGTCATAATACCTTTTGTTTACTGTTTGATGTAGTATTGATATTACCAGTAGATTCTTATTGGATGTCAAGCTTTTAATTGCTTTGAGTCTAAAAAAAAGTTGTTATAACATTAACAGAACTAAAGTCTTCTATCATATGTGGATAATAACTTGGACCAATGAAGAAAAAAAAGAGAAAATTGTTTTATTTTTATTTTCTAACATAGTAATGACAAACCAACTGCCATTTGTTGGAATTCAAGAAGATTTAGAATTAATTGATTGTTGTTTGCCTAATGTCCTGTTGCAAATATTTCATGCATAATCAGGATGATGCAGGTCTAAGAGGCAATCATCCGGTTAATAAATAAATGTATGTTTAATACTTTGAAACACTTATATAAGTACTGGCAACAGAAAATATATTTTTCAATATAAAAAAGTCTCATATACTAGGGGTTAACTGTAAATAAAAACATGTTGATGTTTGTATAATAAATTTGATGAATTCAAATTAAGCTGTTTAATCACATATATATATTTATATTTTTTAGGTTGTTACTTAGATGAAGAAAATTATTCCCTTCTATGTCCAAAACATAGAGTAAGTAAAGTTGTATGATTAGTTATCCATTTTAGATTTTAATTACAACGGATAATTTAATGGAGCATTTCAAAATAATAATAACACCTCATCACCACCAAAAAAAAAAAAAAAAACATTGGGAAGGAAATAGGAATCAGCCTGTCTTGTTTGAACGTCTGTCCTAACTAACATAACATTGAATCCTGTATCTAATTTTAACTTTTCAACATTCAAGATTTTTTCTCCATGATATTTTTCTGGAAATTTGTTTTCTATTCAGTATGCACCTTGTGGGAGCAACTTGTCATATATGCTTCATCAAGTAATATGTATATTGTAACCACAAGATGAGCAAGCAATGAAGTAGTGCATCCAAGTCCTTTGACAAGTTCTAGAGTTATGCCCCTTTGCACCTTGAAATTTTTGTTACTTTTCAGTATGCTTTTTGTGGATGTGCATGAAACTTTATACATTAAAACATTAGTGTATGGATCTCTCTGACATTGTACCACAAGGTTCCATATCACAAAATGGATGCTGGGATTGATTTTGGGGGTAATTGCCTCAAAATTATAGGAATTAGGGGCCAAAAAAGGGGCAAAAAACAAGCATTTTTCTAGTTTCATGACAATAACTTGTGTGTAAGTATATGGATCTTTCTGAAATTGTACTACAAGGTTCCATATCACAAAGGGAAAGCTGGAATTGAGTTTGGGGGTAATTGCCGAAACGTTTAGGAATTGGGGGCCAAAAAGGGGCAAAAAATAAGCATTTTTCTAGTTTCCAGACAATAACTTGTGTTCAAGTGTATGGATCTCTCTGAAATTGTACTGCAAGGTACCATACCACAAAGGGAAGGCTGGGATTGATGATGGGGGTAATTGCCTCAATATTTTAGGAATTAGGGGCCAAAAAGGGGCAAAAAACAAGCATTTTTCTAGTTTCAGGACAATAACTTGTGTGTAAGTGTATGGATCTTTCTGAAATTGTACTACAAGGTTCCATATCACAAAGGGAAAGCTGGGTTTGAGTTTGGGGGTAATTGCCCTAAACGTTTAGGAATTTGGGGCCAAAAAGGGGCCAAAAAACACATTTTTCTAGTTTCCAGACAATTACTTGTGTTCAAGTGTATGGATCTCTCTGAAATTGTACTGCAAGGTACCATACCACAAAGGGAAGGTGAGGATTAAGTTTGGCGGTGATAAATCATAAGGGGGTTCAAAAAATTTGGGGGGGGATTTTTTTTTTTTTCCTTTTTTTTTTTCTTTTAAAATTTTCCATTTTAAGTTGGTTATTTCTGATTTATATTTAAAAGCAAATAATAATGATATGGTAGGAGATACACACCAAACAGGATGTGTAAATTATTATATAATTAGTATTGTGCAATAGCAAGAAATTTTCAATTGCACAGTATTGCACAATAGCAAGAAATCTTCAATTGCACAGTATTGCGCAATAGCAAGAAATCTTCAATTGCACAGTATTGCGCAATAGCAAGAAATATCCAATAGCACAATATTGCGCAATAGCAAGAAATTGTCAATTGTACAGTATTGCGCAATAGCAAGAAATATTTAATTGCACAGTATTGTGCAAAAGAAGATACTTCGTATAAATTGCTTATTTCTTGACCAATTTCAATGGGGTTTTATTCTTGAATTCTTGGGGTTCTTTAATATGCTGAATCTAACCGTGTATTTAGTTTTTGGATTTTGGGCCCCGTTTTTAAATTGGTCCACATTGAGGTCCAAAGGGTCCAAAATTAAACTTTGTTTGATTTCATCAAAAATTGAATTATTTGGGTTCTTTGATATGCCGAATCTAACCGTGTATTTAGATTCTTAATTTTTGGTTCCGTTTTCAAATTGGTCTACATTAAGGTCCAAAGGTCCAAAATAAAACTTATAGTTTGATTTTAACAAAAATTGAATTCTTAGGGTTCTTTGATATGCTGAATCTAAACATGTATTTAGATTTTTGATTATGGGCCCAGTTTTCAAGTTGGTCCAAATCGGGGTCCAAAATTAAACTTTGTTTGATTTCAACAAAAATTGAATATATGGGGTTCTTTGATATGCTGAATCTAACCATGTATTTAGATTTTTGATTTTTGGGCCCCGTTATCAACTTTGTCCACATTGAGGTCAAAAGGGTCCAAAATTAAACTTTGTTTGATTTCATCAAAAATTGAATTCTTGGGGTTCTTTGATATGCTGAATCTAACCATGTATTTAGATTTTGGATATTAGACCATAATAGGTGAATGTCCAATTTAAAATTTTTAAGTTCTTAGACCACATTCATTCTGTGTCAGAAACCTATGCTGTGTCAAATATTTAATCACAATCCAAATGCAAAGCTGTATCAACTTGAATGTTGTGTCCATACTTGCCCCAACTGTTCAGGGTTCGACCTCTGCGGTCGTATCAAGCTGGGCCCTGCAGAGCATTTTATTCAGTTCTTCATTAATTGCATTAAACTGAAAGGCCTGGAGAAAATATTTACAATGAAGTCTCCATATTTTGAAAAATGTATTTTTCTCTAGGCTGAAACATATGCCATGTGGTGTTATCATATATTGATAAATATGATTTACCATTTTGAAACATGTTTTTATCTAACCATAACTATTGTAACCATTGAAATTTAACCCTGTCTGTTTTTTATTTATCTTTATCATTCTTTTGAGATGTCATATAAATTCTTTGATATGCTGAATCTAACCATGTATTTAGATTTTGGATATTAGACCATAATAGGTGAATGTCCAATTTAAAATTTTTAAGTTCTTAGACCACATTCATTCTGTGTCAGAAACCTATGCTGTGTCAAATATTTAATCACAATCCAAATGCAAAGCTGTATCAACTTGAATGTTGTGTCCATACTTGCCCCAACTGTTCAGGGTTCGACCTCTGCGGTCGTATCAAGCTGGGCCCTGCAGAGCATTTTATTCAGTTCTTCATTAATTGCATTAAACTGAAAGGCCTGGAGAAAATATTTACAATGAAGTCTCCATATTTTGAAAAATGTATTTTTCTCTAGGCTGAAACATATGCCATGTGGTGTTATCATATATTGATAAATATGATTTACCATTTTGAAACATGTTTTTATCTAACCATAACTATTGTAACCATTGAAATTTAACCCTGTCTGTTTTTTATTTATCTTTATCATTCTTTTGAGATGTCATATAAATTCATATATAATTTACTGAAAATTATTTTTTTAAATTTAACACTTTGACTTCTTTACTAAGATCTGTGCTGAGAAGACAATTGTTTAGCTGTGCAGGATTTATAAAGCTGCAGCTATGGCAGATAGGAAAGACAATTAATCTGATCCCTCATGTTAGGAGAGAATAATGTTCACTTGAGATGTCTTTGGGTGAACTATAGCAATTACAAAATTCTGTCTCAATCCAACATGCATGGATAATATTTCCATTGGCACTTCGAATGTCCTTGTTTTCTTTTAAGTGTGCCCATTTTGCAGAATCTACCCATAAGATTTGTCCTGTTTATGCATGAAACATTTGTCACTTGGCATTAAGTAAAACAATTAATCAATCTGAATTCAGATATGTGATATATACTGATACCGGACAAACTGATTTAATGTGAACATCTGATGGGTGTAATTTGATACATTATAATATAGTTGATTTACAAACTCTTAGGGCCAACAAATGGCTTTATCATATCTTCTCATTGGTCACAGAGTAATGTAGAATAAATGTTATTTTAAATGTGAAAATGAAACTGTTTTAGCTAATAGATATGAGAAGATGTGGTATGAGTTCCAATCAGACAACTCTCCATCCAAGTCAAAATTTATAAAAGTGAGGGAAAATATTAAAATATAATCAATCATATATTACTGAAAACACAACTGTTTTAAAACTAGGACAAAATGTTTAAGAGAGATTTGCATTTATTAATCATGTTTGCCATGAAAATCTGTGCCATTGACATTTTTATTGAGTCATTTGTAAAAAATCAAATGTATGTGAAAATGAATATAGTTCAGGTTTTGTATTTGAGATACAAGCAATTTGTATCTTAATTTTTCTTTCAATATAGTTTTCATACTGGTATATACCTTATAAGGGTTAATCCATATATTGAAGATGTAGTGAATAAATTAAAATTTGTTAGAAGCATATTGGAGAATTATTTCTATACAGAAAATCAAGAAAAATAGGGAGATGATGGGTGACAAAATATGATAAAAACTTTTTAAATATGTCAGAGTAGCGAATTTTGTGTAATTTGTTGGTAAAACATTTTTATGCCCCACCTAGGGGCATTATGTTTTTCTGTCTGTGTGTCTATCCGTTCGTCCGTCTGTCCCGCTTCAGGTTAAAGTTTTTGGTCAAGATAGTTTTTATTGATGAAGTTGAAGTCCAATCAACTTGAAACTTAGTACACATGTTCCCTATGATATGATCTTTCTAATTTTAATGCCAAATTACAGTTTTTACCCCAATTTCACGGTCCACTGAACATAGAAAATGATAGTGCGAGTGGGGCATCCGTGTTCTATGGAAACATTCTTGTTCTCAGATAAGTATTGAAAGAATTACAATTACTTAATGTTTAATAGTAGTTGATTAAAATAGAGTCAATTCAGAATTTAGTTGAATTTTTCAGGATAAAAGATTGAAATCAGCAGAAGCTAAGTCCTTCAAGACTTGAACCAGACCTGTAAGTGTTTAAATTGAGCTAAGTGCCTGTAATATCTATCAATATCACTCAGCAGTTTATTATCACCTCTTTGAATATGAGTTTTATTGGTCCTATAGTGGTCTCTCTAAGATAAAGTTGGATATATTTTAAGCAAAGATATGTCCAGTTCTTCATACAGTATGTTATAAAACGGAAGGCAAAATTTAGTTTTATTGGTATAATAGAAAAACAAAGGATATGGGGTATCCATCCATGACACAAAATCAGTACATGCACAGCAAAAAAACACACAAAAAACAAAGGAACTGTGCTTTTATTGCTGTTCTTCATCTCAAAGTCACAGTGAGGCCTTCAACACGGAGCAAAAAAATGCATGGAAGTAGTAAGACCTTTATTTAAAAGAACATCAAGCATTAAAACAATAATAGAAAAAAAGAAGTGCACCATTTTATTTACATAGACATGATTTCTGCATTCAAAGGAAATTACAAATAACAACAATCTTTTTATTAGCAAGATATAAAACCATTGAATGAACACATTACTATTTTACTCTTTAATAACAATGTTGAATTAGGTGTTATTGAAATATTTTTCAGGTAACTTCAGCTGGTAAAATTATGTAAACTGATGGTCACAATACCATTTGATCTGTCATTGAGACAACAACAGACAACAGATAAAAGAGAACAGAATTACACAGAATTATGGCATCTCTGCAGAAGACAGAAGACCAAATTTTATGTTTTGTTTTACATCGTGTCTTTCAAACTGTTTGTCATTTAAACTGGTTGTTTTAAAATAGAATAATTTTTCTGAGTATGTGATACCAGCATGCTTTGTGAATAGAGCTTCCACAAACCTTTAAGACACTGTTTGGCCTTTGTAATGCATTCAGTAATTGACATTTTATTAGCTTATATGATCTTAGGAGAGTAGGGCTTGTTAAAATGGATAGTGTTTACATGGTAAACATCAGTATAAACTTTGAAATAAAATTTAGATCAACCTTTTTTGGAAGCTCATATATCTAATGTTTAATATCTTTGTCAGCGAATATTTCTATAAACTGATCATGGTAATTCACAAATATACATCTTTTTTGTATGGAATTTTTATTGGACTAAATAGACAAACTAAAATACTAAACAAATGGTTTTCCCATTTTCAAAATTTTTTAAACAAATTAATTTTCAATTATAGCAGTAAGTAGTCAGTATAAAAAAAATGATAGAAACTTTAATAAGCATTAAGGGTTCTTTTTCTTTGTTTCATTGTACTTTTAAGGGTACCTAATATAATGATTTTAATATTTTCTTCTTTCAGCACAAACATCCAGTGAAGAGATTACTTGATAATTCATGGTTACTTCTTATCTACTTAAATTCATAAAAATGAATTGTTCATGATAATTTTTTGAACACGAGGATACTTCTAACTTGGACTCCCTTCCATTACTTATATGTAAATGGTTCAAATTTTTATGTGAAAAGAAAGTGATTAATTGTTGCATGTTGAGCAATAAAAAGATCCAAAAAGCTTTTATTTTGAATTGCTCATCATTTTCTGACAGATTTTTTTCTGTTATTAAAATGCTTTTTTTCAACTAAAATTATTGCGTTTTATAAAATATAGGAGTTGTATACTCTTTTCATTTAAAGGAATTCTGCAAGGTTTTTGTTTTAACATAGGAACAAAATATCAGCTTTAAGTAGCTAAGTTAGAGATTAAATATGTACATTGGTAAATTTTATGTCATACATTCCTGAATCTGTAGCTGTCAATCATTGAATCTTTTTTTATGGAGATCTAAATTTGGAACCAACAGTGATATTAATCACTAATGTTGAAATTGACACTATTTACAAATAATTATTTTTCTTAATGACTACTGCAATGCATCAAATCAAAATTTAATAGCACCTACAAATTTCGATTTCATTATTAAACTGAACATAATGTAAAAACATAGATGTGCCTGGCATAACTGAATCTTTTCTAAGCAAAAAAAAATCACAAATTTCCTCACTTATATAAGGTATAGGGGGAAATGTATGTCAGAGAAACATAATGGAAAAATAAAAAATAAGAAGTTTTTTTTCTTCTTTAGCAGTAGGATGAATATAATTTTGAACTGCAGTTTTTATTAAATTTAATTAAATTAAGATTTTATATCACATGAAATTTATTTGTACATTTAAAGGCTACAATAGATTTTGGAATGTCTTTTTTGTTGGTATGTTTGAAATATGATTGAAATAGATGAATCCATTGTAAATTAACTGTTGTAAAAAAATTAACCTTGAAGAAATTTTAAAGTACAAAGATTGGGCCTATTAAATTATCCAGGTAAAATATAAACTTGAGGCTTTGGAGAAACCTGATGTATATACAATATAAGGTCAATGAACAAAAAATTAAAACTTTTTGTATGAGGCTCAGAACATGGGGAAGGGTGAGGTTTACTGAGGTATTCCAACAGTTAATATTTTTCTGACATTGAGCTAATATTGTTTTTATACTGCAACTAAAAATGGCTACCATTTTAGTGATGAAAATTTTAGCACAGAATTTTCCATCCCTATAATCTATGGGAGCCCCAAATTGGAAGAAAAGTGACATGAAATCAACATTGCACAAAATATCACTTGGGTACTATATTTGGTTTATAAAGACAACAGGAAGTGTTCTAGCAGCAGAATAAATACTTCTTAGATGATTTGTTCAAACATTTATGATACAGGTTTATTGACTGTATTAAGCAATGTTTCTATAGGGTTCTATTCTTACATCTCTTATATTATAAATAGTATATGTAACCAGTTTTAGTTTAGGTTACCAGTTGTAAATGAAGGTTTATTTGGTCTTTCATTTATTTAAGATACATTCCCATCTTTTCAATCAATATTCTGAGATATACCTGTTATTCTATTCAATTTTCACAAAGTAGTTCAGTTTATATGAATAAGTCATGTAGTATATTTTATAATATATATTTGGCACACAGTATCAGTAAACATACAAATATGCATACTGTTAAAAATATAATTATCACTATATTATTCATGTATTAGCATTGTTGAGGCACACTTGATAACACCAACTTACCGGGTAAACTCAGTGAGAATTTATTGAAACTCAAGTCTTGGATCTCTGTCCTTGTTATTTGAATAAGTACAACTGGTATAAATATGATCTCCCTGACTTTAAACCTCTCTAGTACTTCTAAAATTACCTAGAAATTGTCATCATACATTTTTAAATACAATGTAATGATGCCTTGCTTATTATCTTAGATTAAAATGATATATAAATGATCTGGTATTGTAAGGCATTATGATTTTTGGTTATAGATCTTTTGTTGTTTCATACATGGGCCATGAAGCTTAATACTTTTTTCTGTGAATTTTGTTTTCTTTGCTGTATAAGTATGACCTGGTGTCTTATGACTGATAAACTGTTTGAAACAGAGATTAACAGTGCTTTCATATAGAAATGTCACAAAATGTTTAAGCTTTATCTTCTCATTTTACAGAGACATATTATTTTGTCTTGTATGTTTAAGTCTATTTATGTACAAACTTCTTAATAAAATAAGAAAATTCATTAACTGTAGTGATTTATAATTAACATAATAAAGCCTGTAGTTGAAAGGGAATTATTATACACTTCCATTTTATAATCAGATTATGTACCTGCCGATGAAAAAGAGGATTCCAATATGCTAAAAATGGAAATTTTGGATAAAAGAAGTAAATAATTCCCTTATTTGATGATTTTGGTAATATTCAGGTTATGAAAATAAGATGTGGTAGGATTGCCAATGAGACAACTCTCCATTAGAGACCAAAATGACACAGAAGTTGACAACTTAAGGTCACAGTATGGCCTTCAACAAAGATCTCTTACAAGAAAAAATATAAGGCCATACACTACAAGTTAGTTTACATTAGGAAACAAAAAATGTACATTACTGCAGATAAAACAACTACTGAAATTTTCATGGAACAATTTTTGACATAATATGGAGCTGTTATTAATTTCAGCTTTCTGAAAAACATTTGAGTAACTGTGATTTTCAGGTGTATGCAGTTAATTGCCGTTCATCACAAAGAGATATGCTCTTATAGGAGAAGGAATACATGTCAACCTTTGCATGTTTTCTTTCTTTTTCCTCAAACTTGATGAAAGTCTTGTGACCAAAATTTTGGGAATCAACATAAAGAAGTGCCTAAATAGAATATCCAAAATCACACACAATAAACTTGAATGAAGGGCCATCTGGCATGTTGCATTTGACCTTGTTATCATGGTTCATTGACTTGTTAAAGGCAAAAGATTGTTCTTAGGTCAGTCTTTCAGTTTCTATGACAGTTGTTTTCCATTCATTTGATGTGTTTGAGCTTTTGATATTGCCATTTGATAAGGGACTTTCTGTTTTGAATTTTCCTTGGAGTTGGGTACTTTTGTTATTTTACGTTTTACTACAGTGACAGATCTACTATATTTAGTTGTTATAGTTGAACGGTTTATATGTCTGGCTCTCGCTGAGTCGACAAAACTTCACCTCTATTCGTGGTTCAAGAATTAAAATTTATAACTTTTTATATGATTTTTGCGGTCGTATATTGGTATCACGTCGTCCGAAAACAGTTTGTTTCCGGACAATAACTTTAGTATAATTAAATAGAAATCTATAAAATTGAAACACAAGGTTTATAACCACAAATGAAGGTTGGGATTGATTTGGGGGGTTATGGTCTTGACAGTTTAGGAATTAGGGGCCAAAAAGGGGCCCAAATAAGCATTTTTCTAGTTTCCAGACAATAACTTGTGGAAACATGTATGGATCTCTCTGAAATTATACCACAAGTTTCCATACCACAAAGGGATGGTTAGGATTGGCTTTTGTGGGTTATGTCTCAAACCACTTTGGAATTAGGGGCAAAAAAGGGGGAAAACAAGGGTTTCCTGGTTAATGGACAATTACTTAAGACAATTTAAAAGCAGTGTAAGGGAGGTAATCCAAACACAACATTTTGAATCTCCCTTACACTGCTTTTAAATTATGTATAATTGATTGATTGATTGATTGTTGGTTGCTTAACGTCCAGTGGCAAATATTTCATGCATATTCAGGACGAGAACAAGTTCACAATAAATACAATAGGTAGGTTCTGTAATAGATTAAGGGATTAAGGTCGGAGAAATTTAGACTGCCACGGGAAATGAGGGTATATTGGATAGAGACAGAAATTTAGCCTTGCAACAGGTCACCTACGGACCCCTCAAAGAGTTGTTGCAAGGGTTCTTAACGTGCAAAGAGCGTGGCACTCTCTTTACACGAGCCATCGGATTTAACGTCCCCATTCTGACCGGACGTGGCTGCAAATTTGTACATCCCGTACAGCCAAACGGACGCCCCACTTTAGCACGGGTTTTACTGCTGGTCGGAGGAAGACCAATGGTGACCATACTTCTATTCCCCAGTCACCCTTGGGGGTAAATTATGTATAAAGAAATGTTGTATTGTCTTGAGATGATTAGCTGTCAATTTATTTTTAGAAGTTACTATTAAGGAATATTAATTTTAGCCATGATGTATATATTTTAATGGTTCTTAATACGCAACAGCATAGTGTATTGCACAAAAGCAAAAAAAAGGGGGGGTAATTTTTTTTCTTTTTTTTTTGTGGGAGGAGGGGGGTCAATTTGCAACAGCAAAGTGTATTGCACAAAAGCAAAAAATAGAATATAAATTCAAATCATATAACCAATTCTAAGTTCTTTGACTACAGTTATTCTGTGTCAGAAGCCTATTATGTGTCAAATATTTAATAACAATCCAAATTCAGACCTGTATCAAGCACGAATATTGTGTCCATTTTTGCCCCAACTGTTCAGGGTTGGACCTCTGCGGTCGTATCCAACTGCACTCCGCGAAGCAATTTATTGGCACTTCAGTCCCTTATTTACCATGAAAAATAGGGCAACTTTGGGTATCACGTTAAAAAACGTGTTCATTTCATGTATGAACTGTTTTATGGTTCAGTGATCAGTTTTAAGTTTTCTCACTCAAGTCAGTTTCTCAGTAACTGAATAATTTTGCCTATTGTTTCCTTTAAAAAAAAACATATGACATTGGTTTCTGGAATAGCCTTCTACAGGTTTACTTGTGACCAAAGGTTAGAGAAACCAAATGCATACAAACAAAAAGGGCTGGAATAGAATCACAAAAAAACTTTTGCTGTGGAATTTTCTACCTTAGGCTTAGAACAATTTCCTGATTAGGTAAATGAAAATTAAGCCAAAATAAGAGCATGATATCCTTGCGGAATGACATACCACACTAGCATCAATATTGACCAAATGGAACATATGTCAGGAGTCCACTATATTTTACCTCAATTTCCTTTATCAGTTTTAGTGCTTAGGTCAGTTACTATGATTAACAGGTAGACTATATATTGATGCCACTGGATGTTAAGCAAATAACAATCAATCAACTATATTTGTAATGAGGAGTTGTAATATCAGTCATCTGACTTGAACTTTTTTATATGACCACGAAAATTTTCGCTTATAATGGTATGGCAATGTCGTCGTCGTCATCATTCAAAGATATTTAGTTTCCAGACTTGAGTATAAGTGTATGGATCTCAATGAAATTGTACCACAAGGTTCCATACCACAGAAGGAAGGCTGGTATTGGATTCAGGGTTTATTGTCTTAACTGTTTGGGAATTACAGCCCAAAAACAAGCATTTTTCTTGTTTCACGACAAAAATTTGTGCATAAGTGTATGGATCTCTGAAATTGTACCACAAGGTTCCATATTTCAAAAGAAAGGTTGGGATTGAATTTTCAGGTCCAAACCATTTAGGAATTAGGTGCCAAAAAAGGGCCAAAAAACTAGGATTTTCTGGTTTCCAGACAATAACATGAGTATAAGTCTATGGATCTCTATGAAATTGTAAAACAAGGTTCAATATCAAAAAAGGAAGGTTGGATTGATTTTGGGGGTTATAGCCCTAACTGTTTGGGAATTGGGGGCCAAAAACAATACTTTTCTGATACTTTGTAAAAACTGATTATTTCTTGACCAATTTCAATGGGGTTTAATTCAAAGTCTTGAATCCATGATTTTCTTTGAATATGCTGAATCAAGACCATGTATTTAGATTTTTTATTTTGGACCCCTTTTTAGCTCACCTGGCCCGAAGGGCCAAGTGAGCTTTTCTCATCACTTGGCGTCCGTCGTCCGTCGTCGTCGGCGTCGTCGCCGTCGTCGTCGTCTGTCGTCGTTAGCTTTTTACAAAAATCTTCTCCTCTGAAACCACTGGGCCAAATTTAACCAAACTTGGCCACAATCATTGTTAGGGTATCTAGTTTAAAAAATGTGTCCGATGACCCCACCAACCAACCAAGATGGCCGCCATGGCTAAAAATAGAACATAGGGGTAAAATGTAGATTTTGGCTTATATCTCTGAAACCAAAGCATTTAGAGTAAATCTGATATAGGGTAAAACTGATTATCAGGTCAAGATCTATCTGCTCTGAAATTTTCAGACAAATCTGACAACCGGTTGTTGGGTTGCTGCCCCTGAATTGGTAATTTTAAGGAAATTTTGCAGTTTTTGGTTATTTTCTTGAATATTATTATAGATAGAGATAAACTGTAAACAGCAATAATGTTCAGCAAAGTAAGATCTACAAATAAGTTGTCATGACCAAAATTGTCAGTCGACCCCTTTAGGAGTTATTGCCCTTAATAGTCAATTTTTAACAATTTTTTGTAAATTTTTGTAATCTTTTACAAAAATCTTCTTCTCTGAAACTACTGAGACAAATATAACCATACTTGGCCATAATCATTATTAGGGTATCTACTTTAAAAAATTTGTCCGATGACCCCGCCTTCCAACCATCATGGCTGACTTGGTTAAAAATAGAACATTGGGGTAAAATGCAGTTTTTGGTTTATATCTCTGAAACTAAAGCATTTAGAGCAAATCTGACAGGTGGCAAAAAAGTTCATCAGATTTAGATTTATCTGCCCTGAAATTTTCAGACAAATCCATCAACCCGTTGTTGGGTTGCTGCCTCTGAGTTAGTAATTTTACAAAAATTTTGCAGTTTTTATACGACCGCAAAAAAATTTTGAGGTCGTATATTGGTATGACGTTGGCGTCGTCGTCGTCGTCGTCGTCGTCCGAATACACAATGGTTTTCGCACTCTAACTTTAGTTTAAGTGAATGGATCTCTATGAAATTTCACCATAAGGTTCAATACCACAATAGGAAGGTGGGGATTGATTTTGGGGGTTATGGTACCAACAGTTAAGGAATTAGGGGCCAAAAAGGGGCCGAAAATAAGCATTTTTGTAACTTCCAGACATAACTTGTGTGTTAGCATATGGATCTCTTTGACATTGTACCACAAGATTCCATATCACAAAGGGTCAATGCTGGGATTGATTTTGGGGTTAATTGCCTCAAAATTTTAGGAATAAGGGGCCAAAAGGGGGCAAAAAACAAGAATTTTTCTAGTTTCATGACAATAACTTGTGTGTAAGTGTATGGATCTTTCTGAAATTTTACTTCA